ATATATATATATATATATATATATATATATAGAGAGAGAGAGAGAGAGAGAGAGAAGACATCTCAAATGCAACACATCATGTTTGTACAACCAATACAACCCAATCAATTAAGATATTTATGAAAATCATGAGAGTTCATTTATTATGGTTTGAATATTTATGGAAGATGATTAAAATTCAATAATTATGATTAATACTTTATATTAAGAAAACAGTCAAAACTTTTATGAAATCACATATTTATCAAATTAAATAGACAGATGAGAGTGAGTTGTATTTGTTGTACAAATGTAAATAGTTGCATAATAACCCACATTTCTATATTTATATATATTACAGATTACAATAAACCTCTTAACATATTGTCTCAAATGTTGTTAATTAATTTTTACAGAATATCTAAAATATACATTACAGATTATGTGAACCTCTTAACATATTATCTCAAATGACCTCTTTTTTAGTAGCATTATAGACACTATAACAAAATCGAGTTTATATGACGTAAAAAAAATTTAAGTGTCTCAATAGATCGCTTTATAAGACTTCTTTTATAGAACCAAAAAATAAAACGTTCTATCTAAAAGCATTGTAATAAGCTTATAGAAAGCTTTTGAATGTTTTAACAAGTTTTTTATGACATTTTTAATGCAAAACATTCTATTAGCAATTTTATAAGACATTTTTCTTAAGCATGATACTTTACATAAAATTGTTAATGTGATACTTTATATTAAAAGTATCCGGTTTTTTTTATTAAAACATCCTATAAATTCATTACAACACATTTAAATAAGACAAATAGAAATTGATAGCATACTAAGCCTAAACACATGAATATATTCTTGAAACATTTAAATCTTAACATAAAAGTAGCTAAAAGGGTGTGGCTAGTCCGAACCTACTTTTCCTAACCTACTTTTAGGGCTTGATTTGGATCAGGATTTCTCGTACAACCTAAATCAACATTTTCTATAAATAAAAGGGATCATGGTTCAGAATTCAAGGTTCGGATTAACCATCCTTCTGGGCTGTGGGGTATCCGAGACCCCTAAACTACCTATAAATTGCATTACCACCATTTTCTAACCTTATTTCACCATCAAGATTTTATCTATTCCAATGATTGATATGTTGAGTCAATTTTTTTCATTAATTTGACCAAAATAAATTACCCTTTCACATAAAGTATGCAATATTTTAATACATATATATATATATATATAAAGTAATGAAATTTAACATATACAAGGTACATATAACAAATAAACTCACACATCCTCTTCATATTCAATAAAGTTTAAACATCTGACCTCCAAAGAAACCAGAAAATACGATATCGTTAGACCAAAAACCTTTTGGAAATTTCCACTTGTTCTTTGCAAGAGAACATGTTTTACAAGTCAAAGTCATATATCATATAATTTGGTAACGATCGTAGTAGCCTTTTCTACTTTATGATAAAAGTTTATAGGCTTATTTGGTGAAACAATATATATATATATATATATGTACATATATATGGATACATTTTGAGATTAATATGTTCAAGGAATACTGTTATCGACGGATAATATTCAAGGAATACTGTTATGAACGAATCTTGAATGAGCTCTCTATATTCTTTCTTTTCTTTTTGAATTCGTTTTATTTGAATTTACAATAGTTAAAGAAAACAAGAGGAATTTTCTTTGTAAGTTCCATAAAAAGACGATTGTACGGTTTTGGCGTCACTAATTGTCGACTATACAAAGGGAAATGAAGGTGGGGTGGAGTTCCAGTTGAGCAACTCTTCTATCATCTGCATAACCACCCTATTTTCTTCATCTATTTCTTCATCACCTGAACCACCACCCTCGTCCACCACCGGAGATGGTGGAGGACCCTCTTTTCTCTTGCCACCAAGCTCCACCTTCATCACCCAACCGGAGCCGGACCCTTTTCCGGGACGTTTCTGCCATACTCCGATATGCGAGTTGTCACTATCAAGACGTAGACAAGTGAGTGAAGGTGATGGATCCTTGCAGCATTTACGTAGCTTGGCTGCTAGGGTGTCTACCGGAATCTCTATCTGGGATGACGGAGAATGGTGGTTGTCACCGGAAGAGTTCTTGTTTGTCATCACCGGAAAATTCGTCTTGGCACTTTGTCCGTTCATCAAGATGGCTGCTTGATCGTATGCCCTTGCTGCTGCCTCCGCCGTCTCAAATGTTCCTAGCCAAATCCTTCTCTTCCTGCCATACAAACTTATAAACATCAATTTAGAAACACACAATTTTGCATTCATATAACTTTAAACAGAAATGTATCATGTCCTAATTAGAACCCTTTTCAGATGCTTACTTTTGCCATTGATTTAATGCAGAAAAATGAATCTTTTGAGCATGAAATCAAGATTTCTTTTCCATCAAGTGCGAAATTTCATAACTTGATACATAAGAAAATGGTCGGAAGACGAAAAGGGTTTGACATAAACAAGAAAAAGATAAAGAGATAGAGTTGGTGAAGGTGAAGTTACAGGAGTGGGTGTCTGATCTCTGAAACCCAAGAACCCCACTGCCTTTGCCTGACACCTCTGAACTTCTTCGATTGTACCATGATGATGAATATATGTGTTAAGTTATGGGTTCAGACTCAGAGAGACACAAAGGATATGAGTAAATTTATAGGAAGTATATGCAGATGATGAGAAGGTACATTAATAAGATGAAAGACGATGCTACAGTTTATACATGATGAGAAGGTACATTAATAAGATGAAAGACGATGCTACAGTATATGTATAAGGAGAGGTCATGGGTTTGGTGGGGGTATGTGGTTTGGCTGAGAGACACAACACTATATATATATATATATATATATATATATATATATATATATATATAAGATAGACAAGTTTGAAGGTAAAGATATAGTTTTGTAAGGAGAGTGGGGGAGATATATATACATACATGTATGTAAGCATATATTTATGTTTACATGAAGAGTTTAAATGATATCCTCAATATATATGAATATTTTGAGAACCTATAAATAGACTATTTTATGAATTATTTTCTATAAAATACCTTTCAATAATTATAGATATTATATGTTATTTTTTTAATTAACTTCGATATCCAACCCGTAATGCAAGCCGATTAATTTCAAAAAGACCACCTGCTTTACAAATAGCCCGGAATCACCGCATTTGAACCTCCATGGCCACAAGAGATTTTTATTTCTCCAGATATTATATGCTATTAATATTTTGTAGTTTTGTAATTCATCATATGATGATTTGTTAATAAATAATTGGTAACATGAATATTTTATCATACTATAAATAGTTGATTTAAAGATTTTCAAAATACTAGTTTATTTATGGTTATTATTTCAACTTGGTCTCTCTCTCTCACACACATATATATGTATGTGTAAAATTGGGATTACGTGAGACCAGTCTGTTTTCGTGAAACTACCTTTTTACATTTGAAACTTCATAGCAAAATATTGTGATAGTAACATTCACAGTGTTCTCGTTGTGAATGATCGGCTTTTTTTTACATTCACAATGTTTTGTTGTGAATATCAAGTGTAAAAAAGTGGTCTTACGGCTCTCACGAAAACAGATTGGTTTCACGTATATGTATGTGTATACACACACACACATACACATTGCATTTCATATAAAAACCGTCTAAAAATTAGAAACCGTGTAAACTAGATGAAACAAAATATGTGAAAACGAATTTCATGAAAACGAACCAAAACCATACCATTGATTTATTTTTAAGCTATGATCATTCTTTTTCACATGTTTTTTGTTCTTGCATTTGAGTATGCGTATTTGTTTTATGTATAAACACAATTTTGTGTTTTTTATAAATGTAAAACATTGATTAACGTTTCATCTATTAAACAAGATTTTATGAAGATTAAATGCTCAAATATGTTGTCTTATTTATAAAACAAACTGGTTTCACAAATTATAATTTTTATTCAGTTTACACATGATTTAATATAATGTCTATTAATTTTTTTTTATAAATTCTTTATAAAATTGATTTTAAAATTACTATTTTTATACAATATTTTTATTAAAATTATAGTCAATTGAAATAAATTTATGATAATTAATTATGAGTTACACATGTATTATATTTTGTGGATAATTTTTAATGATATTAAATATTAAAATAATTGTAATAAAGGAGCTATAATTGTCCTTGAATTGTAGGTCTCCTCCTTCCTAAAGTTGTGGAATTAATTAATATTAAAAAATAATAACAATAAACATTAAAAAAAATAGGGGGGAAATGTGTGTGTTTGTGAAAGCAATTGCAATAAAGGTTCTCACCTACATAAAGTGTGATATTTAAGTATTCATTTGGTCTTTATAACCACCTTGAGTAAATGAGATACACCATTTATGTCCCTTCTTGTTTGAAAAAGATTAATAAATGTATATAAACTGATCAAAATACTTATAATTATAAAAAAAAAAGTATGCAAATATAAATTTTATTAACTGATATTTTGGTTGTTATCAGGTTCTGATTTTGTAGAACTTTATAAATCCATCCATGTACAGTGTGTTTTTTTTCCTTATATCAGTAGGTCTCTAAACCAGCTTGGATACACGTAGATTAATCCAATTTGAAGTCAACGATTAGGAAAACTGATAAAAATTTGTTTCCAAATATTATGTCTCTTCCTTTCCACCAATCACGTAAAGTCACATCATTATGTTGGTTATGAAAGAGAATGAAAAATAAACTTAAACAAGTAAAATAATAAAACGTATTCATGTCGTTGGTAAGACAAGAAAGAGATGAAGAATTTGAAGACAACAAATTTTTCATTCCGACCAAAATTCCTTTGTCCCTGTAAGAACTTAAACTAGGGACCGAAAACCCAACGTGTTTAATGCTTTTGCAATGGCAAACCCAATTAGGAGGCCAATAAAGACTATCATGCTAATTAGATGAATAAAGCTAATCATGATATAGTTGAGATTAGAGATGTACAGGTCTCAGGGTTTCTAAACACAATTTCAATAAGAAAAAACTCAGGTTTTGGATGTAAAAATAAACGATTGGGCTTTTTTTTTGGGGTTTTGGGCTTTTTGGTCTCGGATTTAACCATTCCTTGAAATAGAATTTGGACTGGGCTTAGGCTTGTTAGGCCCGAACTTTATCGACTTGAGCTTGTGCCATGCATCGAGCTTACGCTTGTTTATGCATCTCTATTCAAGATCATGTGACAAACTCAGGAAGTCGAAATCTAGGATAGTCTTTGATAAAAAGACTTTTGTGCAAACTAGAGGTGCACATGGGGCTAGTTCACGAGGAATTAGTTGTGGTACTTGTAATTTTTTTATCTTGTTCGAATGTCATTAACCCAGATCATTGGTCCAATATTTGGGCCTAACCAGGCTACAGTTCTTTTTTACAGGTGAGATACAAAAATAAACCCCCAAAAACGAACTGAGGATTCTCAAAAAATGGTTGCAAATATACGTCAATAACGATGTCAAATTAAATAGAATAAAATTTGTCATTTTTTGGTATATCTTGTTTCGCTTGATTTTGATTGTTATTTTGCCATTTTTGATTAAAACAGGGGTAATATTTTTTATTTCAAAAAAAGTAGTTGTAACACATATGAAACAATATTTCATGATAATAATTCTCACAGTTATTACAACATATTATGTGTATGTTTTATATGTATGTACAGGGGTCGTAAAAACAACAAACAGAAGTAGAAGGGTAATTTTGGGAAATGTTATTAAAGAGCAAAACTTTCATCCAAGGACATCCATGGATGAAGATTTTGTGGGGTTTTAAGTAATGAAACACTTTGATAAAAAGATATCTCTTTCTTCTCAATCACCAAAAAGAATCATTCATTTGCATCTTCAATAAATACTTGTCCATAATAATCCCTCCATTTCTAATCTCATTTTCTAAGGTTCATTTCTTGTTGTACCACATCCAATGCATGATGTACATCCCAATATAATTCTTGATTTCTATCTTCCTCTTTTACGTATATATAGGTGACGAATTAAATGGCTCCACATATACTACACGGTACGATTCATGCAACCATTTTTGAAGTCGATAGGTTACAGAATGGATGGGATTGTAAAGTATGTTTTAAGGTACGTAGCTCTTTTAATATATATATATATATATATATATCTATACTATATTATAATGCATTTGGCTAAAACTCTTAAAAACTCTTAAACTCTTAAACTCTTAAACATGCTCATCCCTAAACGATTTCATCCCTAAACGATTTCATC